AGGAAAAGAAACCACACCCTGCTAAATATTTACAGTACTTCAACAGCAGACTCGGAAACAATGCTTTAACAAGGAGTGTCAAAATTTAACTTTTTTTTCCCCCCTTGAGGTTCTGACAGTTCTACACTGCAGGACAAAACTAGGTTTTCATGATCCTGAAATATGGGATTGGTCAGTTGTAATACAGTCAAGTTTCTAGCCCTCTGCCAACACCCGCTGATAACCAGAAGCTGAGACATGCTGGTTGAGAAGTGCAAATTCACACTAGGCTTGCACAGATAGCAAATCACTCTACTCTCTAGCAAATGGACAGCCATTTGTCCGAAATGGTATAGGGTTTCCTGCCTGAGCAGGGGGTTGGACTAGATGACCTTCAAGGTCCCTTCCAACTTTACTATTACTATTATAAGTTACACAGGGACGTTGTCTTTCGTGGATCTATCCTTTAAAAAGAGAAGGCACATGGACACTCACCAGTCACCCACCCGCTCGGCAAAAGACACACACTTTTTCCCTGTCCTATGCTTGTTATCATGTTTTTGGAGGCAATTTTGATTGGCTGAAGTATCTCAGCTCCCCCCCCCCCGGTGCCCCCTCCAACTAAAAAAAAAAAAGGAATCTTTTAAAGCAGGCATGTCCCAACTTTGGCAACCTTAACATCTGTGGACCTCAACTCCCAGAATTCCTCAGCCAGCATAGCTGGCTGGGGAATTTTGGAAGTTGAAGTCTACAAGTCTTAAGGATGCCAGGATTTGGACACCCCTGCTTTGAAGCAAGGGGGCATTTAAGGTTCCGCTGCCCAATATGGCTCGTACCAAGAGGGGTGAAGACCAGAAAAAAAATGGGGGGAAAGGGCCTCAGCTGGGGGGGACAGAGGAGAGGGTGCTCCCCCTCCCAAAATAAAAGGAAGCAACAGTTAAGGCACTGAGCAACTTAGCCTGAAGGGGTTATTTTAAAATAAGAGGGTGCACCACTTCTGCCCCCCTGGTGGAAGGAATAAGCATTTCCAGGCTGACTGAGAGGGCAATGTAGGGACATTGTTGAGACTAATTTAGATTGACATCTTGTTAAACTGCCAATTGTGATCTCAGGGGCCCTCAAGTGGTTCCGTTTTTTGAGTAGTCCAAGCTATCTCAGACACAACTTTTCTAGCGGTCTTATTTCAAATCTGCATTATTTTGCAGGCCTCAAAAACTGGGGAGGGTCATACCTTTTATCACAACCTGGGTTAACTTCACCATACCCCAAAAGTCTTGCAGCATTTTGGCTCAGAGAAATGGTGAGGATGAAACAAGTCCCACTGTGGACTGTCTTCATACAACACGTTCAGTTCTGAACCCAGATTAAGAAAACGTAGTGGCTGCATTCCCAAAACAAGCGCCAACAAATACGTATCGTTTAAAGCAGGGGTGTCCAACCTCGGCAACTTTTAAGACTTGTGGGCTTCAACTCCCAGAATTCCCCAGCCAGCAACTGAAGTCCACAAGTCTGAAAAGGTTGCCAAAATTGGACATCCCTGCTTTAACGTGTTGTCCAAGCTTACCCAACATAACATACTGGCTGGGTTTCTGAACCACAAACCGCCCAGCCTTGCTTCAGCTCAGACGTGATGTGTGAACCTATTCTGTTTGTTTCTAATAAGGGGAGCCATAGCTACACACCACGGGGAGCACATCTGGGTGCATGCATACTGCTGTTCCTCTGCCAGGCATATCCCTCCCCACAAAATTCCTCTACCACCCTTTTTTTTCTTTGTAAAGCTGAGACCACCAAGGACTTCAGAAGGTCCCCCAATATCCAGAAAAGGCAACCCTTTTTCCTCCCGCACGTGAAACTGTAGTGTTGCATACAGGATGCTGCACAGGGACCGCAAGGAGGCTGCAACGAAACTAATTCTAAAAAGGAATTTAAAACATTCTTACAACTAGTCTGAATCCACGCCTCTTAAAAGTTCCTTGGGTGAAGAAAACCAGTTTCAGCAACTAAAAAAAAGCTAACTTGGCTGGAGATTCTTATTTTTGGATTAGCAAAGAGGAGGAGGACACAAAGCAGAGGGCTTCTTCTCAAAACCTTCTGGAGTAGGACATTTACTAATCCCAATGTCAACAAGTAACCTAGAGCAATGGTTCTCAACTTTTTAATGCCGCGACCCCAACCGGTCGTAAGTCGAGGACTAAACCGGTCGTAAGCCGAGGACTTTCCCTGCCCGGGAGTGCCGCACATGCGTGGTTCCGCCCCCTGCGCCAGCCGAGCCGTAGCTGGCAAGCGGCAGAGACGGAGCAGGCCGACCACCAGCTGGCCCAGCCCAAGGGAGGTAAGGCACCCGCCGGAAAAGGTGAAAAAAAAATGGCGGACAGCCTTGCTTGGTGACCCCCGTGAAATGGTTGATCGACCCCAAAGGGGTCCCGACCCACAGGTTGAGAACCACTGACCTAGAGGCTGTTACCAGCTTTCTCCAGCTTGGTGTCCTCTAGAGCAGGGGTCTCCAAACCCGGCAACTTTAACACTTGTGGACTTCAACTCCCAGAATTCCTCAGCCAGCATGGCAAGCTAAAGAATCTACGTCTCTCAAAATCCTTAACCAACACCAGCATGTCTCATTCTACCGATGGAATAGTTTGGCCTCCTTTAACCGATTGATACAAGTACAACCTGGCTTCCTAGTTTTCAGGCAAGACCAAACATCCAATTGGCTGGACATTTTAGGATCAGCAGCCCTCCTACATCTAGGAAAGGCCAGTGTAGAACAAACAGGCTTGTTTGGAATAAGATGTTTGGCTCTTACATGGAGCCACCTCTCTAGGTGTGGTTCAAGTTATGGAACGGATGCCGGTAACCACACAGAAGTCAAAAAGATCTGGGGGCCGTTTTTGAAGAGCCTGCCTTGACCGCCATGGAAATTTTCCCAATTCACCGACATTTGTTGGCACTCGGCGATAGTCCACCTTAGCTTCCACCCTTCCACACTGCTGATTTTGGCATGTGGTTGTGTCGTCCGTGTGGCACATGGAGCGATTTTGGCAGAGTAGGTGTAGCTTCTCCAGAACATCGGATTTGGCACGACAACATACACCACAAAGAGAACAGGAAAGAACCTGAGTCTTGGGACAATGCTGGGCCTTCACTGGGTACAGAAATCTTCACTTAAAACCTGAAGGAACGTCCTCTTCCATCTATTCCGCTCGTGCTTCAATTAAGTTCATTTCAGTTACAGTTCCAATGGATCGAGGGAACCCTCTCTTCCCCAATCAACGTCTTTGTGACTCTTCTTGGTTTGGCAGACAGTTAGCATCTGACACTGTACTCGCAGCCCGCCTCCCCTGACGTAACAAGATTAAACAGTTCTTCTCCGTACTGATATAATAAAAGCAATTATTTTTTATATATATACAAAAACACACTATGCTTTGAATGAATTGCTAATAACATGCTACCTGACAGTATAATAAATCTGGACCTTCATTGTACCATCTCTGAAAGATTTAGCTGTGGAATCTCACTTACTGAAAATCACACTGAAAATTCATTACAGGGGCCTTGGGGACGCTTTGGTTATTTGTGGATGTGTGGGAGTATAACTTTCAACAGTTAATTCATTTCTATATTTTTTTTTCCTGTTTAAAATTAAGAGGGTGATGATGCGTTCCAAATCCAGACAGATGGAGCCCTTTTGGAGAAAGTTGGCATGGTAAGGCTAGTTCGTTGTGTTGTTTTGTCGGCTGAGGCTCCTCAAACCTTGGCGGAAAGCAAGTGTCAAAATGTCAGAGAAAACAGTAAATCCAGTATATTCCACTTCCCTTTTGGCCATAAAATTCAAGAAGTGGTCATGGGTCAATGATTTTTCTCTGTTTATTACTTCTACTTTACTTGTGAAGTGTATGCAGCACAGCAATCCAAAAAAAAAAATTCTATAAAAGCACTTACCATAATCTAGGCCAGCCAGAGGGATGTGTATGTATGTGTATGTGTATGTGTGTGTATGTGTGTGTGTGTGTGTGCGCGCGCGCGTGCACGTGAAGGTATCCATGCACAGTTTGTATAGGGAATCTAAAAAACAAAGTGGTGGAAAGTTTAACAAAGTTCAAAAGAGTTTGCCTAAATTTGTACATTTTTGGAAGCATCAAGATACACCATCTCCTCAAATACCGAGGTTAAGTATTTCTCAACTATGGGAATTTCTATTGTGAGTGGACTTCAAGTCCCAGAATTCTACAGCTAGCATGGCCATTGAGGAGAATTCTGGGTGTTGATGTCCACACACCTGGAAATTGCCAAGGTTAGGAAACACTGGTCTAGACGATTAAATAAAGGGGTTCCCCTCTAGTTAAGCTTGCAACATTCAGGACTGGGCTCAGAAGACCAGTAAAAGGAAGTCCACAGCTAACGAGGACGCTACGCTATGCACATTTATTGCCCCCCCCAAATCTCACTAGTGTGCAAACAAGACTGAATATTAACACTTTAAAAAAAAAAGTAGACACAAAATAAGCTGTAAAAAACAAAACGACACAAAAAACATCAAAATAAGCCCTCGAATTACAAAAAACAAAAACAAAAAATAAAAAAGGGAAGCTATCCAAAGCAAGATGCCCATTAATTTCTGTGAAGCTTCGGATACAATTACCATCCCTTCTGCCTATAATTCATTATTATTTTTTTCCAGTTCCTCGTATAGTTCCACTCATCAGCTTTGAAATCACCGTTTTGAAAATGATCAGGGGAGGAGCAAGTCTTAAAAAAAAAAAAAAAGGCAGCTGTATGAAATCGAAGTGAAAATCCAAAAATAAATGTACAAGGACTGTTTCAAAAGTTAATTGCCTGGCACTGTGTGTCGGGCAGGGGCGAGGAGGCGGGAGGATCAAATTTAAGTGCGGCCGTGATTGTTTCGAGGGGGGGGAAGTGGGGCCAGGGGGCATAAATCAGGGGTTTTTTTAAAAAAGAAAGAAAGAAAGAAAGAAAGAAAGAAAGAAAGAAAGAAAGAAAGAAAGAAAGAAAAAGCTTCACACCATCTTCTTAATGTTGTGGCGTTTGAAACTGCCGGTGCTCCGTTGCTTCTGCACTTGGCTAGCTGAGCCATGACGAGTCCTTCCGCTGTTGGAGTGTGCGGCCGTTGGAGAAAGTTCCACGTTCTCTTTGTCGATTCCTTGAAAAAAATAAAAGCATCAAGAAAGAAAGAACCACCGGTGGACAAATTAGCTTAAATCCTTTGGAAGTCACAGGATTATACAAATGTTAAAATAAGGTAACTGGCTGCATCAAGGCTATTTCAAAGGAGGGAGGGAGGGAGGGAGGGAGGGAGGGAGGGAGGGAAGGAAGGAAGGAAGGAAGGAAGGAAGGAAGGAAGGAAGGAAGGAAGGAAGGAAGGAAGGAAGGAAGGAAGGAGAAGGTAGAATTGCAAATGGTAGCTGAATTGAGTTGGAAGGCAGCAGAGATATAAGCACGCCCCACATTCTTGGAGTCCAACCTCAGCATCCTGCTGGCTACCAAACATAGGTAGCTTAGGCACCTGGTACCACCCAGTTCCAGGGAAATGGATTGCATAACTTTAATAATAATAATAATAATAATAATAATAATAATAATAATAATAATAATACAAAAGTTGGAAGAGACCTTGGAGGTCCAACCCCCTGCTCAGACAGGAAACCCTATACCATTTCGGACAAATGGCTGTCCAGTCTCTTCTTAAACACTTCCAGTGTTGGAGCATTCACGGCTTCTGGAGGCAGGTAGTTCCACTGGTTAATTGTTCTAACTGTCAGGAAGTTTCTCCTTAGTTCTAGGTTGCTTCTCTCTTTGGTTAGCTTCCACCCGTTGCTCCTTGTCCTGCCTTCAGGCGCCTTGGAGAATAGCTTGACTCCCTCTTCTTTGTGGCAGCCCCTGAGATATTGGAACACTGCTATCATGTCCCCCCTCGTCCTTCTCCTCGTTAAACTAGATTTTTAAATTTAGATATATATGGACGAATAATCCTTGTGCCTTGCACAAGATCAGGCACTGGGAGAGGAACACTTAAGAGGCAATATGGGTGCTTCTTGAGCTTAAAGTCCTCCTTATCCCCTAAGATGGAGAGAAGCACCCTATTTTTCCAATGATTTAAAGCCCAGGGTTTTGGACAGGGTTTTGTACCTATTTCCATCATTAAATCCTTTTTCCAAAGCTCTTTTTCCCTTAAACAGGGGAATATGAATCCAATTTAGGGAGGAATTTAAAGGTGGAAATGGGTGCCCTGCAAAAACGTCAGAAACACTTTCAAGGAAAAAACAAACAAACAAACAAAGTCCAGTTGCCTTTTGGAAAAGCACCTTTGGGACCACCATGACTTAGATCAGGGGTAGTCAACCTTGGCTCTTTTATGACTCGTGGACTTCAACTCCCAGAATTCCTGAGCCAGCTAAGCTGGCTCAGGAATTCTGGGAATTGAAGTCCACGAGTCATAAAAGAGCCAAGGTTGACTACCCCTGACTTAGATGATTGAGCATCTCCATAGATCTGTCACGTCAATACTTGTGACAAGGGAAGTCGCAGAATACAAAAAGGCAGGCCTGAAGATCTGTGGAGTGAGGGGTAAGGATTGAAATACTGACTCAAAACCTCCCCACCGAAAAGTATTTCAAATTTTAAAAAAGAGGGATAATCTAGTTGCAGCCCATTGTGTGATTCAACAAGAGGTTATGACCTCTCCACGTCTGGGCTGGAGCACTTTGCCTGTGCTCCTGCTAACCCCCACTTCTCTGTCCCCCACTTTTTCAGCATAAATTAAGGGTGTGAACCGAATCTTACCCAAAGGATATTTAATTTGCATCTTTTTCTGAAGACAGAGTATTTTTGAGATTTTAAATCAGGGGCGTTCCACCTTCAAACTTTAAAAGTTGTAGCATGGCTGGCTGGGGAATTCTGGGAGCTGAAGTCCATAAGTCTTAAAGTGGACACCGCTGTTTTAAATCAAATTAATGGGAAGGGGTAAGAAAAGGCTTGGAAGGAAAGAGAGAAATAGATCACAAAATGAGAAAAAGGAGGATGGTGGAAACAGAAGTACAAATACTCCAAGAAGATGTAAGATGGCATTCCTGGGGAGGAAATGATAGAGAAGAGAAACAGTTCAAAGGACTTAAGTATTCTCTAAAGAAGGAAGAATAAAGTACTGACAGCTTTGGGGAGCAGAATTTTTAAAAAAAAGTCAACTAAGGGATTAAAACGTACATGCAGATATGGAAAAAACAGAATTATTTCCTTCTTTCTCCCATCACTTTAAAACTGGGGATCATCCAAACATAGTCTATTTAAGGAGACCTGGAGCAGAGAGGAGAATGTCCCAAGTATAACTCAGAATCTCCTGGGGGACAGCCATTAAGTATTTATCGGTAACCCGAATTTCACAGCCAGATGGAACTATCTCCAATCTCCAGGGCTAATACAGGTAATCCTTGATTTACGACCACAATTGAGCCCAAAATTTCTGTTGCTATGCGAGACAGTTGTTAAGTGAGTTTTGCCCCATTTTACGACCTTTCTTGCCACGGTTATTAAGTGAACCTGGCTTCCCCATTGACTCTACTTGTCAGAAGGAAGACTACAAAAGGTGATCACGTGACCCCTGGGACATTGCAACCGTCATAAATCTGAGCCAGTTGCCAAGTGTCCAGATTTTAATTACATGACCCTGAGGATGCTGTTGTGTGAAAAATGATCATAATTCGCTCTTTTCAAATCTGTAGTAACTTTGAAGGACTCTAAATAGAATTAACAGAGCAGGATCAGTCTTTCCTAGAAATGAAAGCAGGATTGACTGTTGACTCTATATAACATCGACTCCAAACTAATGTCCTGCCCCGAATATGGAGAAATAGGGGAATAAAGAGGAGATTGAGTTGTCAAGATGTAGCACGGCAGAGTCCTTGCAGATTGTGCAAGGATGAACAGTTCTTATAACAATTTGGCCAGCTTCCCCAGGCATCACTCTGATTAGTGTGCTCTGCAGCAGGAAAAGAAATACACACCCGCCGTATTCTTGGCAGCAATTGTGTTAGTTACCACTTTTCTGCATGTACTGTAAAAAAATCTGCCCAGAGGCCAAGGTTTTTACTCATGATAATCTGAACATCTCAAAAGAAATGGGGGACAAATGTTGGGGTTACGAAACAAAACAATTCTTATTAAACTGAGGCTCTGTGAAAACCTCTCAGAACAGACATGTCCCTGAGTGAACAGCTTCCTCTCCATCACTGTTCTCCCGAGAGACTGCAATGATGTGAGCAGTTACAAGTAGGCAAGACATATTTGTGGCACGTGGAGGTGATCTGGTAGCTCAGTGTGTGCTGAACTACATCTCTCATAATCCCCAGGGCCATGCTTACTAAGAACTATGGACATTGCACTCCAACATCCCTGGAATCTCCTAGATCCAATAATGATTTGGATCTGGGTCTCCGTTATGAGAGAGATCAACCAACTTCATCCTCTTCAACATCAAGATTTTAGAGAGAAAGAGCACAGAACAGGGGAAGCAATGCTAGCAGAGAGGCAAGAAAAACATGAAGGATACATCTGTTAGAGCCAAAGAGAACTTCTATTCAGGAGCCCTGGTGGCCCAGTGGTTAAAGTGCAGCATTGCAGGCAAACTCTGCCCATGGCCTGGAGTTTGATCCTGACCCAGCCTTCCGAGGGTTTTTAAAATGAGCGTATCATTGGGGGCAATATGCTGACATTGTAAACCGCTTAGAGAGGGCTGTAAAGCGCTGTGGTGTGGTATATAAGTCTAAGTGCTACTGCTATTGTTCTGCCTCCAAATACCAGTGCCTGCAGAACAACAAACAGCCAGAAACAGCTTCCTTGAGTTGGGCTCTTCTGGGAAACAGTCCGCAGGATTCAACGGGGATGCTTGTCTTTTTCAGACATCATCCTAAGGTCTCAGTGGGACTGGATTTCATTTTTTTCCCCTAAGGCTCTGCCTATAACAACGACATTATTTGCTAAAATCCAAGACACCAGTCCAGAATGACGTCTGAATCTATAGCTTGGAGGCACACCAACTTTCGGTGGGGTGAAAGTTGCACGTGGCAACTCCAGGGAAACACCCCCAAAAGTGGACAAGCCAAGGCAGAAACTAAATTGATGTAAACCCAAGTAACATTAAAATCACATAAATTTGGGTTCTCTCCCTGTGTATTTAATAATTTATTTGCTCTACCACATTTGGTTTGGTTTTTATTGATGCGATGCATCCCACAGGAATACGAGGCAGGTCAGTGCAGATGTTCTGTGTGAGAGAAAGAGGGTGAAGGCAGTTCCTCCGTAATAATTCCCAGAGTACATATAGTAGACGCAGACAGTCGAGTGATTAGTCTGGCAAGCTTCCATCTATAGGTGTGGAGTAATAAAGAACTTACTACATGACTTTTTTGGTTTTGGGGCCTTACATCAATCTTGCCAATCTGAAGCACCGTATTATCTGCTAACTATTAGAGAGGGGCTATCTTCACCCTCCTCTCACACAACGTATTTGGACTGAGCCGCCCGTTACACCTCTGGCACGCACTCCGCTCCCTCCTGGGAATCCAATCTATTGCATTCCATCGTAATTGGCAACTTTTGAAGGACTTATGGGAAATGGCCTCGAGGCTTTGGAACCAGACCTTCACTGGAGCTGGAGCTGGAGATCCACTTAAGGCCCAGGTCATCCTGCTGTTCCTGAACCTGTCCTGCCTCTCCCACATGGGAGCAGAAGCATTATGCTCAGGAGACAAAGAAATCATAGAATCAAAGCACCAGAAGGGACCTTGGAGATCTTCTAGTCCAGTGATGGCGAACCTTTTAGAGACCGAGTGCCCAAACTGCAACCCAAAACTCACTTATGCATCGTCGGGTGCCAGGTGGGTGTGGCCATTGGGTGCGTGTGGCCCATTGGGTGGGTGTGGCTGCAGTGGTAACGGCAGACTGGGTGGGACTAAAAAGTTCAATCAATCAATTCCAACTTTGCAAGATCTTTTTTTTCCCGTGAGAAGTTGAAATTGACTGATTGATTGAACCTTTTTTTTTTTTTTTTGCACACGGCGGCGGACGCCTAAAGCGAAAAGGTTTTATAAAACCCATCTGAAGGCCTAGGACTGGGGCGACGGCGCGCGTGCCCACAGAGAGGGCTCTGAGTGCCACCTCTGGCTCCCATGCCATAGGTTCGCCACCACTGTTCTAGTCCAATCCCTTGCCCAAGGCAGGAGTCCTTATTTCATCCCGCATAAATAATTTGTCCAATGTTTTCTTGAAAGCAATGGAGCGCCCACAACTCCAGCAGACAGGCTGTTTCACTGATTAACTGTTCTCACTGACAGGAAATCCTTCCTTATTTCCAGGTTGAATCTCCCTCTGATGGGCTTCCACCCATTGCTTCTTGTCCCGCTCTTGGGTACTAAGGAGAATAAACTCACACCCTCTGCTCGGTGACAAGCCCTTCAAGTGGGTAGACATCTTTTGACCAGCCACGTTACCCACAAAAAAAAATTTTCTTCCATTTTCCAAAAGCAATAGCTCATGCAAATAGAATGGAAACGATGGAGGGGTGGGGGTGGGGGTGGAAGGAGAAAGAGAGAGAACGTGTACCTGGGCGAGGAAGGTTGGATGAAAACGGCTGATTTAGAGGAAGGCAGAGAGGCTTCACAGACACAAGATGAGAGAGATAAGGTGAGCGATCAGCCGTCGGGTTTGGGGGAAAGACACAAAACATTTAATGGACAGGGATAACGAATGTATACATCTCTCTATCCCCTCCCAGCGTCCTTCCCCTGCCCAACTCCAGCAATCATTCTTACTTCTACACAAATCAGATATACGGAAAACCCTCAACACGTTTTTGTTTGAACGGTGCACTTTTCAAGAGGAGACAATTGGAGAAGGCCTGTCTCTGGTCCCGGGGCCTGTTTCAACGCAGAAAGAAGAAGCAAACAAAACCACTCACTTGATGCAGCGATCACATCTCAAAAGGGGACAGTTAAAATAAGTTCCTTTTTGATGTCTCTAGCCCACTGTTTCTCAACTTCGACAACTTTTAAGATGTGCGGACTTCAACTCCTAGAATTCCCCAGTTAGCATGGTGGCTAGGGAAAATTCTGGGAGTTGAAGTCCACACATCTTAAAAGTTTCCAAGGTTAAGAAACCCTGTTCTAGTATAAAGTAGAATGTGTTATTGGAACTCCCAAAGAAACCTCAACTAGATGAGGTAGACATTATTAGACATTCTCCAAAAACTTCCAAGAACTCCCAAAAGTATCGTATCTCCTTCTATGCTTGAAGCAACCCCGTTTGGACTTGCCCTGTGTCTTTGACTAAAAGTTCTCCCTCTGCTTCTGATGTAACTTTAGGAAGTTTAGAACAGATACCTGGTCCTGCTTCTCTCAGTTGCACCTCTGAACCTGCCTTCTGATTGGCCATGATTGCTTTAGACCAGGGGTGTCAAACTCAATTTCATTCAGGGCCGCATCAGCATTGTGGTTGCCCTCGGGAGGGGGGAGGGGGGGCAGGGGGATGTGGCCTACTGGGTGGGTGTGGATGGAGTGGGTGTGGCCTATTGAGTGGGCATGGCCAGCTCTACATCGTTCGCGTCAAGGGTGCCTGTGGAGGCCTGGGCAGGAGTGGGACAGATCTGAGGGTCTCTGGCAGAAGGGGGTGGGACCGGGGCAAGTGCCAAGGCATGGTCCACTGGAGGAGCCTCACTGCCTGGTGAAACCCCTCCGCCGGAGTCCATCAAGCCAGATATGTGAAGTAGGCGAGGGCCATTTGCTGGCCATTCCAGGCGATGGTGCATTTCTTCCTTCTTCACAAAGGGTGACACCTCCCCAGCATGCACCCAGGGGGCAGGGCCGACGCGGCAGGGGCTGGTTCCTCGCTGTTTCCAGACGGCCTTGTGAAGCTAAGACTGAATGAGTTTCAGCATAGATGGCCACCACAAAATTGTACATTGGCTCCTGGCCGACCTGGGCCAGGACCAAGGCAGCTGGGGCTGTTCCCTCACTGTTTCCAGGATGGCTTCACGGGCCGCATGAAACCACTTCGCGGGCCGCATCCGGCCCCCGGGGCTTGGCATGTCTGCTTTAGACATTCACTTTGGGGATCAAAGATCTGGCAAATTCCTGCTTTCTCAATTTTTGTTTTTCGTGGCAAAACCTACTGCACTCACCCACCAAGAGGAATGACACGGGAATTAACACATAGAGACAAAAGATAAGTCAGAGAGGGTTGAAGACCAATTTCTACATTTTTCTTTAACAGCATTCCATGGATGCTTTCAGGCAATGGACAACTGTATTTTACATGGAACGGGAGAGAAATCATGCAGCCGCTTCTCACATTACAGTCTAAAGTACGAATAGGAAAGGGCTTAAACTATTTCTGTATAGGCTGTGTTCATATAACATGACTGACAGGTCAGCAGGGTAGGGAACAGCAATAATAAAAACGCAATAATAAAATAATATGTCAAACAAACAAGAAAAGCCTAGTGGCAAATCAACATGTATCGAACTATATGATCCCTTGCTATTCCACTACCTGGGAGAAAAGCCAGCTCTTACCGGCTTTCTAGAACAGGGCTTTTCAACCTTTTCACCCATTGTACCACTTTTAGGATATGGCAACATCCCAGTACCACCAGTCGCCTAGCAAGGGGTCAAAAACTTGATGACCCCCCCAAAAAGTGATAAAGTACAGGTAGTCCTCAACTTACAACAGTTCGCTTAGTGACTGTTCGAAGTTACAATGGCACTGAAAAAAGTGCCCCCCAAGCCACAGCCGAGCAAGACACCTGCCTGCCCACCCAGCGGCGCTCTTCCTCCTGTCTGAGGCTTTCATTGTTGTGAGCATTTCTATTGAGGATTGGCAGCGGGGGTGGGGTGGGGGGTGTTTGGTTTTTATTCCCTCGTCTGCTGGGTGGTTGCAGCAGGTTTGGGTCACTTCACATGACCCTGGGGCACTGTGACCGTCATAAATATGAATCAGTTGCCAAGCATCTGAATATAAATCACAAGACCCTAGAGATGCTGCAAAATTCCAGCTGATCGATGCTTCGAAGAAGTGCCAGGATCAGCGCTGAGCTCCAGCTGGAGCCTGGTGCTAATCTTGGCACTTCCACTGAGCCCTGACAGTCCCGAAGAAGTGCTGATCCTGGCGCTTCCGCTGAGCCCTGACCGCCCTGCAGCTCCAGCCATCTCTCGCTCAGGCTTGTGCGGTGCTGCCACCGGTTCAGCTCATTCCCCTCCCCCGCTACCACTTTTCTAGGATGGTTGCGTACCACCTGCCAGGTGTACCACAGGTGGTACCCGTGCCACTGGTTGAAAAGCCCTGTTCTAGAAAGTGAAAAGATTGCAAGCTTATTGAATCCCAGAGAAAGGATGTTTCATAGAACAGCTACCGCAGTGTTTCTCAACCTTGACAATTTTAAGGCATGTGGACTTCAACTCCCAGAATTCCACAGCCAGCTATGCTGGCTGTGGAATTCTGTTAGTTGAAGTCCACATGCCTTAAAATTGTCAAGGTTGAGAAACACTGAGCTACAGAAAAGATATGTTTCCTAGGTACCACTAGATGGCGATATTTGAGGGAGTGAAGGAACCTGGAAGGTGACCACTCTATCTTAATTTGGCTGCTACAGCCTAATTAAGGAACTAGCAAGAAGAAAACACCCCTACTAATAATACTGACAGGGCAAGCCACTAGTATACTGTATAAATAGAGAGCAAACCCCCACTCCCTCCTAGCACTGAAGATGTTACCTGGTTGGGTAATGAAACATCTGCAAGAAAACAACCAACTCCGAGAGCACCATGGACTCCACAGTTGCATCCCTGAACTGGATATTTGCACTGCAAAGGCTTATTTTGGATGGTGATGGGCGTGAGTTAGGAACACGCCCCAATTTGTTTTAGGCAAGAATACTATATTTTGAAGGTAAAAATAACCTGTGACTCTGTACCTATGCAGCCAGCTGATCCTTCCTCCAATTATCACACAGCCTTTAAAAATACTAGTAAGGGAAAGACGAAGAATACCGTGGGAACACCATCAATTCTGATGTTCTGGCTATGTATTCACTGGAAACGAAATATATTAGCTGATCCTTCAATCTAAGCTCATGGGCCTCCTTAAATACGTAGGCGTGCAGAACCTATTGAAGGCGAGGACTTCTGGCGGAATGGGTGAGTCAGAGAAAGGGTCCAAGGTCCACCCAAGGAAGGTGGCCCCAAACCAGAACTGGAACGGGACGACCTCAGATCGAGAAATGGATGGCAAACTGACCTGGGGAATGCTGGGAAGTTGCAAGTGAGGTCATGGAATTGGAAAGGTTCAGGTTTGCAGTGATGCTGAGCTGACTCTGCACTGCAGGAGGGTAAGGAGAGGTTGGGGTTAGAAGGGATTCTTCACTGATCTCCTCATCCATTCCAGGCAAGTAGGTGTCGATCAAGGCGTCAAGGAACTTCACAATCAGCTCAGCGTAGTCGGGTATTTGACTTTGCTAGAAAAAAAAAATGAAAAAAGAATGAATTTCCTTTTTCTAATCTTTTGTGTGTGTGTGTGTGTGTGTGTGTGTGTGTGGTGGTCTCTGAGCTTGGTTGCTTTCTTGCAAACCTTTCATTACCTTACTAGGTAACATAATCAGTGCTACAAGAAAGTGGGTTTTGCTCTCTGTTTATGTACAAGTAGCTTACCCTGTTGGTATTGATGGGAATTGTCTTGGTGGCTCCTTGGTTAGGCTATTGGCTCAAGGAATGACCAAGAAAACTCCCACCAACTAACAAGGCAAGCCGCTAGAACAGGGGTAGGCAACCTTGGCTCTTTTATGACTCGTGGACTTCAACTCCCAGAATTCCTGAGCCGGCATGGCTCAGCATGGAAACCTCTCCCTTTCTCCTCAGCATGGCTGGCTCAGGAATTCTGGGAGTTGAAGTCCACGAGTCATAAAAGAGCCAAGGTTGCCTACCCCTGCGCTAGAATATAATCAGAGAACAAATCCCGCTCCCTTCTAGAACTGGTGATGTAACCTAGTTGGGCAATGAAACCTCTACAAGAAAACAACCAAGTTCAGAGACCACCAAGGACCCCATAGGTTCAACGCTGAGCTACAAATATTTTCTTTTATTAGAATCATTTCCCCCTGATCTTGAGCAATGGATCCCACACTCCCCAAAAGGTCTTCTCCAACTGGGACGACTCCTTTTACCCCCTGCCAATGTCAAAGGACTCCAGATATAAGGCCAAATTTCCTCCATCTAGAAGAGCAAATGGTCAGTCAGAAACTAGGTGCTCTGAATCAAGCTCTCATCCAGCTCTGAGCTTAGTGGACGAGAAGTGAAAAGTCTCCAAAGAAAAACAAAGAAGTCCAGTTGCCTCCTGAAAAAAGCACCTTTGGGACAACCATGACCTGGACGACTGAGAATCTCCATAGACGTTTAGCTATGCACTTTGTAATTGAATGTTGGTTCCCCCCCCCCTATTTTGTGGAAAAGTCAAATAATTAAGAATATAAACCGTATAAAATCCACTTGACTTTTTTCAGAGAGTTTGATTCAGAGCACGTAGTTTCTGGCTGACCATCAGCTCTAAGCTGAAGAAGCTTCTTAGATGAGAAGCGAAACATGTTCAAAGAAAAACAAGAAAGTCCAGTTGCCTCTTGAAAAAGCACCTTTGGGACAACATTCAATTACTTTTTTTTTTACAGATTTCTGATAGTACTTAGACCGCCTATGTCATTTTTTTAGGCTACCAAAGCTTCATGCATAATGGAATATATAAATAATTGGACTTCAAATCCATAGGCCATCACGGACAGAATCTCTCCGTTAAATATAATATTTTTTAAACAGGAATATAATTACCTAACACCACCCTTTTCTTCATTTCTACCAATTCAAAGTCAATTTGAGGTTGTGTCCATCCAATGTCACCTTGGTAGCAAAACAATTTATAATGTAGCACGTTAAGCTAATGCAAAATTGCTCAGTTGGTGGTTCTCAATTCAGATTTGCTTCACTGCTCAGTAATTCTAGAGGGCTGCTAAGGAGAGTCCTCTGGAGAAAGGGGTGCTTGGGTTTCAGCTGTGACTAGACTTTTGTCATCTGGTGTAACCAGGGGTCAAGAAAAGGAAATAATGGCCTGCCATTATGGAGGGTGAATAAGAACTAGCAACTAACAAGGCAAAGCATGGCAAAATGGACTGGACCTAGATGCAGAATAGACTGGCTAGCAGTGCTTGAGGCATCCATTTTGGCTTAGTTTCTTGATCTACAGTATTTGGAGATTCTTGGTCTACAAGCATTTATTACACTGGGATTATTCGGGAAGGAAGGGCATAGCCCAGTGATGGCGAACCTTTTAGAGACCGAGTGCCCAAACTGCAACCCAAAACCCACTTATGCATTGTCGGGTGCCGAGTGGGCATGGCCCATTGGGTGGGCGTGGCCCATTGGGTGGGCGTGGCTGCAGTGGTAACAGCAGACTGGGTGGGACAAAAAAGTTCAATCAATCAATTCCAACTTTGCAAGATCTTTTTTTTTCCCGCGAGAAGTTGAAATTGACTGATTGATTGAACCGTTGTTGGTTTTTTGCACATGGCGGCGGAGGCCTAAAGCGAAAAGGTTCTATAAAACCCAACTGAAGGCCTAGGACTGGGGCAACGGCGCGCGTGCCCACAGAGAGGGCTTTGAGTGCCGCCCCTGGCACTTGTACCATAGGTTCGCCACCACTGGATATAGCCGTTCTTATCAGCATAGTTCTGGGACTGACTTTAGAGAGTTGGAAGTACAAAGGCTCCCAGTTTATGTAAATTCGACAGAATTCTATGACATGCAGCTCCATAGCATCCTAGAATTGTCAAGTTGGAAGGGACCACAAGGATCATCTAAGTCAGGGGTCTTCAAACTTGGCCCTTTTATGACTTGTGGACTTCAACTCCCAGAATTCCTCAGCCAGCGTGCCTGGCTGAGGAATTCTGGGAGTTGAAGTCCACAAGTCATAAAAGGGCCAAATTTGAAGACCCCTGATCTACGTCCAACCTTCTACCCTACAGGCAATCTTTGACTTACCAACATTAATTTAGTGACTGTTTGAAGTTACAACAGCACTGATAAAAGTGTCTTACGACCAGTCCTTGCACTTACAAACCGTTGCAGCATCCCCATGGTCGTATGATCAAAATTCACAATATATAAATATGATATCGTATGATACCCATGACTGTAAAATATTTCAAGACTGAAAACATTCAAATCAGAAACATTCATTCCAAGATCAGAAACATCCATTGTTTGCCCTCCACCCCCCGAACTGCTCTTAAGCTGTTTCTAGTGACCACTGATAATTTTCTTATTAACCTTCCAGTGTGACTCACATTTTCATATCCCCTCTGATTTTACCAAGACCACCATGTGGCATTCAGTTTGAAAGAAGCCCAAATCACTCACCTTAGAAAATGGTCCTGCAAACCTCCACAAGCCGTTAAATCCAAAACCTGCAAATCATCAGCAGCAGCAACAATAAAGAGAGAGTAGTTTTATTAGGAAAATGATGAGCGAAAGCTAACTGCCACATACTCCGCAATCATTCCTTCTTATTCTTTGGTCTACACATTCTGATTAATCACTTTGATGCCGGCATCACCCCATGAACCCATCAAGGGACTCACCCTTAGGGCCGTAAGCACAATTGGCCTATCACCTCATGTCCCAGAACTCCATTCTATACTTGGAGGTTAGTCAACAGGCACAGATAATTCAGTGTGCAGCAATCAAGGGGGATTCAATTCCCACTTCTAAACCAGGCTGTTATGTGCAAAATGTAACATGCTTTTCAATCACTGAAATGTTATGATTGTTTAACGTTCTCGAATGGTTCAGTTCTCTATCCATGTATCATCAAAATCATAACTGTTACTTTAACAAATGTCTTACCCTCAAACATTTCCAATACATATGCAATAAAAGACAATACAGTAGTCTGATGCCTAAGGCATGTTCCATAAAAATAGTAAAATGCAGTTGCTAAGGCATAAACCCTATATTAGATTAGCCCCGTGTTTGCTTTCTTGCAGTTCAGTCATGCATTAAAATGGGAGGGAAGGAACAACTTAAAAGAAAATGAAGGGAATTGAGTCTCTCTCTCTCTCTCTCTCTCTAATAATAATAATAATGATAAAGTTGGAAGGGACCTTGGAGGTCATCTAGTCCAACCCCCTGCTCAGGCAGGAAACCCTATACCAGTTCGGACAAATGGCTGTCCAGTTTCTTCTTAAAAACTTCCAGTGTTGGCGCATTCACAGCTTCTGGAGGCAGAAACTCTTCTGAAATTCTTCACTGAAGGGGGATCATTTTACTTTGTAGATGAGTGGCATTTGTGTTACTTTGAAACCCTCCGTTACCTTTTTGCAGTTTTTCCCAATATTTCTGATAAGAAATCTGCGTGAACGACAGTCACTATAAGTGTGTAAATACCCAAAGGACATTATTTTTAAATGTAAAAAATGGAATTAGTACTCCTTGGCCATTACTTTTGTAAGGTAGCCTAAGGTATCAATGAAAGAGGCAAGGCCTACATTTTTAAATGTTATTGGTTAAATTTATATACCACCAACTCACTGTTTTGGGTGACTCTAGGCCTCTAAATCACAACAATATTTCTCAACTTTGGCCACTTCAAGATGTGTGGACTTCAACTCTCAGAATTCCCTAGCCAGCCGTGCTAGCTAGAGACTTCTGGGAGTTGATGTCCACACATTTGAAAAGTGGCCAAGGTTGAAAAACACTGCCTTACATGCTATAAAGCAGGGGTCTTCAAACTTGGCAACTAAGACTTGTGGACTTCAACTCCCAGAATTCCTCAGCCAGCCCTGGCTGGCTGAGGAATTCTGGGAGTTGAAGTCCACAAGTCTTAAAGTTGCCAAGTTTGAAGACCCTTGCTATAAAGAATAAATATGTGGGGAATACCTAAAATATGTTTTATATAATCTGTATCTAAGCAGACTTTTTTTCTTTCTTTTCCTAATTCATGAAGGAGCTGTAAGATACATACTCTGCAGATAAGACGTCTGGTACTGTGGTGGAGATTCTTCGTGGTAAACCACACTCTGAACAATCCCATGAATGGGATTCAATAAATTTGGATCCTGACATTGCGATAAGAGAGTATTTATCTTGAAGTCCAATAAATTGTGCCTAGACAACAAAATATATACAATATTTGATCAGGTTATCTCCTTCACGTTTTTACTGCAGCAAATAATCAAGGGTGTTTATATCAAAGTTTTATTATTACAATACAGAAATGAGTATCGATCAAAAATTGAACAGCCCTCTCTCAATATAGGGGGAAGGATACAGCATCATCTATCTTTAGTCTACAATACAGTCCTTTCAGCAGTTTCAAGAAGGCTCCACACCCATTTGTACCACTCAGGTGACCTGACAATACAGATAAACCTCCAAGTGGCCTCAACGACTCTCTAAAAGAAGGCAAATGACCAGCTGTCTGCAAGGAGTATAAATCCTTCCATTCCCCACCAACCAGTCAGAGCTGAAGAAGCTTCTTGGATGAGAAGTGAAACGTCTTCAAACAAAAACATGAAAGTCCAGTTGCCTCTTGAAAAAGCACCTTTGAGACATAGAAATGAGTATTGACATAGAAATGGTTGTGAAAGTCAATTATTCTTGCCAGGGAATTTCCAATGCTGGTTAGACAATTCCATCGTATCTTTTAGCACCGTACAAAGTACAATCACCAGAATTCTAGGGTGCAGGTATAGGTAGACAAACCCGCCATAATCGTGTTCAACTCTTTTTTTTTAAATCTATAATCCCAACAGCTCTTCTATACTGTTCTTGGAAAGTGCATGACAAATTTGAGTGGGCTTTTGGACAATCCCAGATGTTGGGTTGGGGAATTCTGGGAGTTGAAGTCTACACATGGCTTAAAATATCCGAAGTTGAGAAACACTGTTCTAAAGGCTGCTTCAGACATCACACTACCCAAAACGTGAGCATGTTTGCAGACTTCTTTAGTATTTATGTCCTATCAATTATATACATCCCATTCTTTCTCTCTGCCTGCACAATTTCAAGTGAACTCTTCCAGAGCCAGAGTACACATGTTCAAAAACAACACCTTGCGGATTATCTTTTGGCAGAAAATTACTTCCTTTGAAAAATTCAACACTTACACAACAGGAAAGACCTTTGGGAAAACCACACTGGCTTCTGCTAAATACTCATACAGGATTCGCTGGTCAAACTCATCTGCTGTGTACTTTACCAACGTTGCCTGTCCAAAGAGAAAAGTGGGAGAGAGAAAAGGAGGAACAAGAAACATCAGCTTGCAATTTCTAATCAGCTATTAGATTAAATCAACTATAGATGCAGATAGCACATAGTCAAAAGGGGCAGGGCTTTGATCATAAAGACGAAAAGAACATAGAATCATAGAACTGGAAGGGAACTCAAAGACCTTATACCCATGGTGGCGAACCTATGGCACGGGTGCCAGAGGCGGCACTCAGAGCCCTCTCTGTGGGCACGTGCGCCGTCGCCCCAGTCCTAGGCCTTCAACTGGGTTTTATAAAACCTTTTCGCTTTAGGCCTCCGCTGCCGTGTGCAAAAAAAAAAAAAGGTTCAATCAATTTCAACTTCTCGCGGGAAAAAAAAAGATCTTGCAAAGTTGGGATTGATTGAACTTTTTAGTCCCACCCAGTCTGCCGTTACCACCGCAGCCACGCCCACCCAATGGGCCACGACCACCCAATTGGCCACACCCAGCCAATGGGCCACATCCAGCCAATGGGCCACACCCACCCGGCACTCGATGATGCGTAAGTGGGTTTTGGGTTGCAGTTTGGGCACTCCGTCTCTAAAAGGTTCGCCATCACTGCCTTATACCATCTCAGTCAAATAGTTGTCCAGTCTATTTTTGAAAAACCTCCAGTGATGGAGCACCCACAACTCCAGGAGGTAAACTATTCCACTGATTCATTGTTTTCACTGTCAGGAAATCTCTCCTTACTTCTCTCTTTGACAAGCTTCCACCCATTATTTCTTGTCCTGCCCTCTGGTGCTTTGGAGAATAAATCAATCCCCTCTTCTGTGTGACAGGGAACTGCTATCGTTGCAGTTGTGACTCTTCAAGCAGTATCACCAGGAAGGATCTTCAAGTGACTTGGATTATATACTTACAAGGACCGTCAGCAGCAAAGCTTGGATTTTGGGATCAGTGAGGACTTCCTCATCCAGGAGGACATTAGACTCGGACACAGATACTTTACGGAGATGGGGATGCTGTTGGGGTGATATCCTTTGTGTTTCTGCAGGAAGGAACCCACGGGTTACAACCAGGGATCGCAAGGATAGACAACAGCTCTTATGTTCTAGGTAAGGCTCCTTCAACAACTGTGAGACACAGTAAGGTTTCAAATGAAAGAGCTGGGAAGACCACTGAGGATTCAGTTCCAATCTTATCTCAACCATGGAACATCTCTGTAGATCAGGCCAACCGTCATTGCCTTAACTAGACTGGCAAAAGGGCCATTTGTCTGCAAGTGACTTTCATACAGTTTTATTTATTTGTTAAATTTATTTGCCACCTCTCTTCTAGATAGCTTACAACAATAAAAAGGAAGAAATATGTAAACGGAAGTAAGGTAACAGAACAATAAAATAAACAGTGGTAATTTCTTATAGCGTACAAATGTTTTTATTCTCGTTTAAGCATTTCAATTAGTGAGATCTATTTTATACTTCTGTAAGGTCTCTGATTTTAGGCAGAAGCCAGTGAACAATTTCTACTCCCATGAAACGGGAANGAAAAAGAAATTCTCCAGTGTACCCTCAAAATCTTTTCACAGGGTCTACGCAGGGCAGATTTGGGGGTGTGAGGTTCACTGCACAAATTAATTCCAACCCTGACAAACTTTGCTGTATTGTGGATTTGTTTGCATTGGAAGATTTCATTGTATTCTAGCATGCCAAGTGAGCAACAGCAAAATAAATAATTGTATAAGGCATTTAATTAAGCATACACAGCAATTAGCGATTAGGCCATTCTGCTTGAAGTCTTACCCATTTCATAATCATTTTCTGCTACTCTTCTCATTTTTGGAGGCGTGGTGATCCCGGATTCCATTTCTTGTCTTTTAGGGGCTTTTGTGTCCGATACTAAGTGGTCAAAACTTTTTCGGGTACCTATGAAAGTGAAACCAGTTAAACCTGTATGCTCCCATAAGCCACTTTGTGGAGTCCTTGGTGTTGTCCGAGCTTGGCTGTATGTTTGCAGGCATTTCATTACCCAACTAGGTAACACCATCAGTAGCCACCAAGCACAGAGAGGACTAAGGATTCCACAGTTCAACTCTGAACTACGTATATTCTCCTCTATTGGAATCCACTTTGCATCCTGGATAAACAGAGATTGCAAATAATAGTTTGTGGTTCAGAGAATACTGGCAAGAAATTTAGCAGGGTTCCAGCAGTCCCGGTGGAACTGAAGGCTTAATGCAGGGAGTATGAGATAACACGATTCTAGATTCCATCAACGTTCCACACACACCCTCTATTTAATACAGGTAGTCCTCGACTTACAACCGTTCATTTAACAACGGTTCAATGTTCCAATGGCCTTGGAAAAAGTGATCTCATGACCTGAACTTGCAACTTATGACCGTCGCACCACCTCACAATCACGTGATCGCAATTTGAGCGCCTGGCAACTGGCTCGCATTTATGACTGGTTGCAGCGTCCTGCGGTCACGGGATTGTGATTTGCGACCTTTTTTGCCGATTTCCAGCAAAATAAAAAATAAAAAATGCCCATCTGAGGAAGCTGGATTCGTTAATGATCACATGATTCACTTAACGTCTACGGTGATTCGCTTAACAACTGCCATAAAAACTGTCGTAAAATCGGGTCCAGCTCGATTTTACGACTGCAACAACTTACGACGGAAATCCCGGTCCCAATTTTGGTCGTAAGTTGAGGAATACCTGTACAGAAAACAAAAGCTGTATCTGATGAAAGCAAGTTTGCCAATAGGCTGTGGTCGTGTCAATGGCTGGCCCAAATCCTTGTGGTGAAAAGGAGACTGACACACCCAACCAACCTAGCAGCTTTTTAGTGTTGGCTTGAGAAGGCTGTCCCATATCCAGGCTCATGGATTTCCTTGTGCGGGGACTGATCTGCCCAACAGTTGGGTAACTAGCAGCGAGATGTCTGTCAGAGTTCTTGGGAGAAGACCAGGGCTGGTTTTCTCTTAGTGTCCTAAAAAAGAAAAAAGAAACCAGTCATTTCAAAAACAAACCGTCTCCAGACAGCCAGAAATTAGTCAGACAACAAGTGAGCTTCCTTCCTCCTACCGAGTTGAAATGGCACCCGTGGATTACCTCACATCTAGTGCTTTGGCCTGAAGCTGATGATTCAAGGGGACTCAGCATTTTCCCAAGACATAACTGGAAACAAATACACTGATGCTCTGGGCTCAATGATGTCGTCACACAAGTGATGCTAATGATAGATTTCATCGTTTGCTCAGTGATATCGTGACACATGTAACATTGTTTACTCTCTTGCACCTCATAAAATGCCCAGATTCTACTACTGCTTCTTCAGTGTCTATTCTACTAGGCTCCCTCAAAAGGAGATATGAGGTAAGTAATAATGCAGTTTATTTGGGGCCTAGCACAATGAATGAATGTCAGTGAATACACCATGTCTTGTTTTAAGGTAATCTGAAAGCAGTTTGCTGAAAATTTATGGAGTGAAGCTATGGGTTAATGTGAGGTGGCATGCTAGCAATGGTTTGTTCAGAACAAGCTTTTAACCTTTAAGGAGGAGGAATTCAGAAAAATACAAGGCAAACTATGTCTGTCTCCAAGTCTGATTCTAGCTTGCTCAAACAGCAACTCAGTGCAATAGCTGTGTTCACATGAATTGCTAAACCACAAACCAGTCAACCACATTTAACCAGTATATGAATATCCAGACTTTCTGATTCTGCGACTGGGGTTATACAATATGTAGACTGTAGAGTGCTTGGTGTTTGCTTGAAAATGTTTTATTACCCAACAAGGTGGCATCAGCAGCTACGTAGCATCAGCAGCATAACTGATGATATTACCTAGTTGGGTCATGAAAGGTCTGCAAGCAAACAACCAAGCTCAGAGAGCACCAAGAACCCCACAATTTAATCCCAAACTACAGATATTCTCTTTTATTGAAACATGTAGATTAACTAGAATGAAGTGGAATAATTTATGGTTTAGCATATTATGAGAACCAGCCAGAATACTGTGTGAACCAGGCTCTCATCTCATTTCAACACAGCGTGTCACATAAATACAGCCATTGGGTTATGTTAAAAATATACTGTAAACTCAGCCCAGGAAACTGAATTCAGTTACACTTGTTAAGCTAACTATGGGTTAGCATATTGTCTGAACACAGCCAGTATATGAATCTAGCTAGTGAAACGCCATGCTTGAGCCTTCCAGGGTCAATTCCAATACAGCTCTTTCTTTCCCAGAATAATTTGAATTGCAAGTAATTTTGTCTTCTTTTGCCTCCCACCCTTCCCCCTTTTTTCCCCCGTGTCATAAATCATTTAGCTATAAATTATAAGCTGTCTTCAATAATTCACAGAAACAAACAAATTCTCTCCTGGCTGGAGAGAAGCATGTGGTTTGAAGAATCTTTCCAGATCCCTTTCTAAATGTCATTTTGCACCAAAGAACAGCATCAAGAGACAGACATCTGAGTTTAATGCACAATTCTATCAAATGGAGTACCACAGAACTGTCCATACCCTCTAATAAAGTTTTCAAAAGTCCACTGACCTACAACTGGCTTCATTGTGGTGTATGGGGTATGTCTCCATAGGAACGTTTTCCATTGAAATATCTGTCAAGAGGAGCGATTTCCTATGCTTTAAGCTGCACCGGCTTCTGACTTCCTCGGACATAGTCAGCAGAGCTGAACAGACAAAAGGAAGCACAGAAATGTTCAAAGGATGTTTTACATACTGTATTTCACATTCTTCTTCCAGAGATGGCATTCTTCTTCCCGTATTTAGTGAAAACTCATCATCAGCTATTGCATCAAGAACTCAGAATCCCGAGAAACTCGGTTCCATTCATTTCAATTTTAAAGAAGTAAAAATAAAATTTGAGGGAGCCACTGCACTGTCAATGCTCCACTGTGACAAAATTCTAGTCCTTAAGATCCTAAAGCACGATGAGACTCTTGTTAAATCCTCAACCAAAGATATCCACCCCCAACATTTTTTAATAATACTAATAATACTAAAGTTGGAAGAGACCCTGGAGGTTTCTAGTCCAACCCCCTGCTCAGACAAATGGCCGTCCAGTCTCTTCTTAAGAACTTCCAGTGTTGGAGCATTCACAACTTCTGGAGGCAGGTTGTTCCACTGATTAATTGTTCTAACTGTCAGAAAATCTCTCCTTAGTTCTAGGTTGCTTCTCCCTTTGGTTAGTATCCATCCGTTGCTTCTTGTCCTGCCTTCAGGCGCTTTGGAGAATAGATTGACTCCCTCTTCTTTGTGCCCTGGTCCTTCTTTTCATTAAACCAGACATACACAATTCCAGCAACCGTTCTTTGTATGTTTTAGCCTCCAGTCCCGTAATCACTTTGTTGCCCCTAATCATCTTTATTGTTATAAATGCCTTATATCTTGGCAAACCCTCCAAATCATTTGGACAATCGGACTCCGGGTTCCCATGTGATAACAATGCCCATGTATGGAACTTCAAAGGAATACAGAAATCTCACAAGATCTGGATATTTCATAATATTTTAATCTGCATCTTTATATTACTATCTTAGCACTTATGTCTGTTTCTCAGCAAAGCCGCGCCCATAGTGAACCATGGGTTCACTTATCAACTGCTACATTTGCTTAACAAAAGCCATGTTCACTTAACAACCAGCACAAAAAAGGTCGTAAGACCATTATAACTGTAATGGGCAGGCTCCATTACAGTTGCAACTTGAGGACTACCTGTGCTGATTTAGCAATGGACTAAAGTTTTAAGCCAGGTTTCCACAATCATATACCAATACAGCAGTGTTTCTCAACCTTGGCAACTTTAAGATATGTGGACTTCAATTCCCAGAATTCTCTATGTTGGCTGAGGAATTGTGGAAGTTGAAGTCCACATATCTTAAAGTTGTCAAGACTGAGAACTCTGCAGTATAGTCAAAATATTCAAAGAGGATCTCCAAATGTTATAGGTGGGAATGGGGAGATTGAGTGAGGATCGAGGTCCAGCCTTTCCATCATAGGCAGTGTTGTTATTATCATTAAACGTAGACTGGCTCCCTCCTTTTGGCAGCTCACATTTTGTTGGGAACTGAGAGGAATACTTTCACACTATGTATTACCCAGTTTGGGTTGGCCTGGATTGGATACAAACCTCATAGATTTGGGTTTTTTACCTGCAAGGTAAGCCACACTCTGGGTATTCACCTCAAACTTATCACAGTTCCTATGTTTGTTAACCAGAGCAAGGAGTGTGTGCAGAATCCTTACTGTTCTTGCTACTATGGTCGGTGAGGGATGCCGGTAACCTGGTGAAATAAACATTGTGTTAAACAAATATATATATATATATATATCTGCAAAGAAAGAAAAGCGTCAGTTGAAAAGTGGGAAAATGTCTTAAAACAGACATGCCAAACACAAGGCCCGGGGGCCGGATGCGGCCCACGAAGTGGTTTCATGTAGCCCGCGAAGCCATCCTGGAAACAGTGAGGGAACGGCCTCCGCTGCCTTGGCCCTGGCCCAGGCCGGCCGGGAGCCAATGTACAATTTTGTGGTGGCCATTTATGCTGAAACGCATTCAGTCTTAGCTCCACAAGGCGATCTAGAAACAGCTAAGAACCAGCCCCTGCCGCGTCGGCCCCGCCCCCTGAGTGCATGCTGGGGAGGTACCCTTTGTGAGGAATGAAGAAATGGACCATGCCTTGGCACTTGCCCCCTTCTGCCAGAGACCCTCAGATCTGTCCCACTTCTGCCCAGGCCCCCACAGGCCCCCTTGACGCGAACGATGTAGAGCTGGCCATGCCCACCCAGTAGGCCACACACCTACTCCATCCACGCCCACCCAGTAGGCCACACACCCCTGGCCACACACCCCCAGGGCAACCGCAATGCTGATGCGTCCCTCAATGAAATTGAGTTTGACACCCCTGTCTTAAAGAGACAGTGCATACACCTAAATGGACACTCAGCAACTGGGATGGGAGTTGAACAAGTTTACCCATTCAGTGAAAACTGGACTTCAGTAACTGCATGGCACGTGGCTGATTCTCACAACCAAAAGGAATAAACATCAATTGTGGAAAGTTAGCAATACTAATCACTAATTTGTTAGTGGCTTCCAAAGTTAGTGTGAGTTTCAGGAAAGCCAGCAAGCATGTACTGCAAGCAATCAAGTCTTAGAATCTAGGATACTGGTGGGAAAAAGTTGGAGAGATGGGTGCATATAAATTTAATAAATAAATAAAATGCAATGCATTCTTGAGGCTTTTGCACAAAAGGAAGAAGCGTTGTTGACCGGAATTTAAAGTCCCAAGTTGGAATGAAGGGACACTGAAAGGAATTAATTATGTTGTTGCTTGTCAGGGGGTATATCACATCAATCCCAAGAGAATGCTAAGCCTGATTTACAAAGAAAGATAACAATAGAACAAACTCACACTACAAGATGGGAAAAAAACAGAATGGTTTCTAAGCATAATTGCTCCTTGAAAGCAGAAAACTAGCAGTTCCGGGGGAAAAAATTCCATTCTGGCCAGCATCTTGTGATGTTACTTCTTTACTTACACTTACACGTATTTTTTCACTAATTTGTTTCTCTATATGTAATCTGAAAGAGTGAGGACTAGGTTTGACACGCTGGTGATTCAGGCATCAGGATAGAAACTGGGGAGACTGTCGGTTCTAGTCCCGCTTTAAGCACAAAGCCAGCTGGGTGAACTTGGCCAGTCACTTTCTTTCAGCCCTAGGAAAGAGGCAATGGCAAACCACTTCTGAAAAAACTTGCCAAGAACACTGCAGGGACTTGTTGTGGCAGTCTCCAAGAATCAGACACAACTGAACAGGAAAAAAAAAATCTGAAAGAGAACAATCTATTCTACCATCTTGAATTCTAAAGCGAGGCACACGGAGAAGAAAAGCGGGCAACCACTTTGGCCTCTTAATGCACAGCAACAATTTGCCTTTGTATTCCAAAACCAACTCTTGAACAATAAACAGATCTCCTCTTTTCACAAATGACCCAAATCTCAAACCAATGCTTTGTTTTGTGAAAACCGTGTCTTTTGCTGAAGTGCATCTCAGTTTCTATCACAAAAGTTCCTTTCAGCCTATTAATTCTAGGTATTTTTTTCTCTCTCTTTCTCTCTTCAGTCTCTCTCTTCAATATCTTCTATTCCCCTTCAAGGAACTCTAAAGTGCTCTAGGATCCTCTTCTGATGCAATTCATAGGGACAGTATACAGAATTCCTACCACAGACAATGCTGTTTTGTAAAGTTTGACTGGGGCCTGAAAAACCACACTGCCTTCCTACCTTTTAGCAGATGTCCCACAAGTGCAAAGTTGAAGTTGGAGTTGAAATTGAGTCCCACAAAGTGGTCCATCTGCTTACAGTGCCACTCCAGAGGCCTCCTGATCTCCATGAAGACTTCCTCAGGGCTCTGTTGAGAATAAGCCAGATACAGACATCAGAAACTCGGTCAAAAAAGGAACCATGCTTACTCTTGGATTTATGCCATGCAGACACACAACTTGTAAGAAGAAAATATTTGTAGCTCAGGTCTGAATTGTGGAATCCTTGATGCTCTCTGAGCTTGGTTGTTTGCCTGCAGACGTTTCATTACCCAACTAGGTAACATCATCAGTAGACATCAAGCACAGAGAGGACCAAGGATTCCACAATTCAGTCCTGAGATACATATATTCTCTTTTGTTGGAATCCACTCTGTATCCTGGATAAACAGAGACTGCAAATAATAGTTTATGGTTCAGAGAATACTGGCAAAAAAAATTAAGCAGAGTTTCCTTTTTCAGCAGCAGCTGAAATCCATGGGCTGCAAAGTGCTCAAGTTTGAACTGTGGAGTCCTTGGTGCTAACCTTGTTTGTTTTCTTGCAGACATTTCATTTATGGGTGGGAGTATTCTTGGTGATTCCTGGAAGAGGTCGTGTGAACACATCCATTATGTTTTATTTTATAAACCAGGATTTTTAAAAAATATAGCAAGGACTTTTGAACAGTCTTTGGCTGAATTCACAGATAAGGCCAAAGATTTTTAAAGTGTGGCTTGATGTCTATGGATCATCCAGTCATCCAGGTCATGGTAATCCCAAAGGTGCTTTTTCAAAAGGCAACTGGACTTTGTTTTTCTTTGAAGACCTTTCGCTTCTTCAAGTAGCCTCAATGACTCTCAAAAAGAATGCAAATGACCAGCTGTCTGCAAGGAGTATAAATCCTCCCATTCCCCACCATCCTGTCAGAACTGAAGAAGCTTCCTGGATAAGAAGCGAAATGTCTTCAAAGAAAAACAAGAAATGCCAGTTGCTTTGTGAAAAAGCACCTTTGGGATAAACTGTGGCTTGTTGAACAAGATACATTGGTCTAGGAGGTAGTACATAAAAAGTGAGCTAAGGTGATTGGAATTACACCTCACAAGAAATCAAAAGCAAACAAACCACGCACGTTCTAATTTGAGGCAGTCTAAAAATACCTCTGGGGGGGGGAAACAGCATAAGGTGGGTGCATCCAAGATCCATTTGTCTTTGCTTTCCTCTTCCTTGTTCTATTTTAGTCTGCAGCCCTACTGGACAATTTTAGTATGCATCACCTAATCTTACGACAGCACTTGTAAGACTGCTGGGATATTAAAAATAGCCCTGGGCGCCGTAAGATAAAAATCTCATTTCTTGAAACTCAAGGAATGTCAAACAATATTACATTTCTTAAAACTCCAACTACTTTTCAACAAGGAAGAAGCTCATATTTTTTTCCCAAAACTGATTCACCGCTGGCGAAAAGATGACGTATATTACAACAGCGCCAAGAGAACATTCATGCTTTCTTTTGTTCTTGTGTGTTCTGGGAAATGGTTTGCTTACTTTATCATTAAATACCCGGAGGTTGTCCAAAGTGTGAAGGTTCTGCTCAAGTAAAGCTGTGCCTGCGGAATACAGATTGACCTCATCCAGCTGTAGAACTGCCATGGCCACCCAAAATAGCACCTTGTGCAGAGGTGAGTCCTAAACAGAGGAATAAAATGACCAAACTGAAGCACAACATTTTGATAGAAGGGAATATTTGTAACTTAGGGTTGAATTGTGGGGTCCTTGGTGCTCTCTGAGCTTGGTGGTTTTCTTGCAGACATTTCATTACCAAACTAGGTAACACCATCAGTGAGCACTGATGATGTTACCTAGTTTGGTAATGAAATATCTGCAAGAAAACCACCAAGCTCAGAGAGGACCTAGGACCCCACAGTACATTTGTTCTGTGGTGAAAGATACAGAACAAAAAGTGAGCTAAGTTTTCTCATGTCAAGAAAACTGGATGCATCTGGCACCCACACAATCTCCAGACTCCAGGGAACCTGTAACTGGAACCATGGGTACAAAACAAGGTAGAATGTACTTCCATAGACACTTGGCCCAGTCTGGATGGGATGATCGTAAGTTGCCTTGACAGTTTTATTCTGCAGGGATTTCAAGTGATGACTGGTGGCTGTTGCTATCATTGGCTCATTCTTTGGGTTGATTTTTCCATAAACAGCCTTCCAAATTTGTACCCACAGCCAAAGTGAACTGTTGAGATTTAGGCAATGCTAGCAATGTACATATAGACATAGAAAGAAAGACTAAGATCTGTAGTACAGATTCTCTGAAAATAACAACTTTGGGCAGATGGATGGGAATATATGAGCAGACTGCCCCCTCATATTGCCCATGAAGCTGCGTCAATCATATTTATTTTAGGAAAATTGACATGGCTGTCCAACTCTCTCATGGTGACTCCAGGAGGCTTACAGAAATAAAACCTCAAATGCAAAAGCTAAGAAACCTCCACCCCCATGTGACAACAATTAAACCAACCACTTCATGGGCTCCATATCACCCTGGGATCCCCAGCCCTGCTAGTAGAACCATGTCTTCAGGGCCTCTGAAAGAATATCAAGGTAGGGGCCAGTCTTATCTCCACGGGGATGATGTTCCAAGAGTATTGAGGGAGGGAGCCACCCTGTTCCCCCCTCCTTCCCTTCAGTCACTTCATCACTTCCTGGTTCTCAGCAACTCGGTCCAAACCACGGTTTCCAGTTCTGTTTAGAGTCAAGAGTGCTTTGCCTTCATTGACATGCAATTGATTTGGCCATACTTAGAGAAAAGAAGTGGGAGAAGAAGAGAAGTTGTCCCAAAGATGTTTTATTTTCTAAAAGGCAACTGGACTTTCTTGCTTTGTATCTTTGAAAACAGAGGGAGGGAGCCACCACTGAGAAGGCCCTCCTTCTTGGTCTGACTAGATGGGACTTCTTGAGAGAGGAATCACCATACACGCTGCCTCCCGCTCTTGTGGGTAGGGTAGATGTAACTGGAAGAGTTACATGTGCAACCACCACCCTTCTTGTCCATGGAGATTCTCAGTCATCCATGTCAAGAATGCTCTGCCTTCACTGACATGTGAAGGCATTGTCCCAAAGGTGTTTTTTTTCCCAAAAGGCAAGTGGACTTTCTCGGCTTTTTCTCTGAAAACATTTCAGCTAAATATTTTTAAAATATTTTCAATGAAGGCAAAGCACTCTTGACTCTAAACAGAACTGGAAACCATGGTTTGGGCCGAATTGCTGAGAACCAGGAAGTGATGAAGTGACTGAAGGGAAGGAGGGGGGAACAGGATGGCTCCCTCCCTCGATACTCTTGGAACATCATCCCCGTGGAGATAAGATTGGCCCCTACCTTGATATTCTTTCAGAGGCCCTGAAGACGTGGTTTTACCAGCAGGCCTGGGGATCCCAGGGTGATATGGAGCCCATCAAGTGGTTGGTTTGATTGTTGTCACATGGAGGTGGAGGTTTATTGGCTTTTGTATTTGAATTTTGTAATAAAACCAGTGATGAAGTGACTGAAGGAGGGGGAACAGACACACCAAAGCAATACCTCCAATCCTTCAGGTTCTCTAATAATCTAATAAATCACTGGCAAATTTTCAACATTTGCTAGTGAACAATAAGGAACAGGTAAAAAAAATAAATGCAAGTATCAGCTTCCAAACATCCCCTCACCTGGATCAGTCTAACATTTATCCTGAACAATGAAGTCACCTACTTTTCCTGCCCACAGGGTCACACAGAATGAGCTGCTGGGGACCCTACCAGTTTACCTTGTTGAGGAGCGGCTGGAGCTTAGTCAGGGCTATGACGGTGGCCTCTATCAGAACTTGGCTGTTGTAGTTGTCTGGCCCTTTCAAGCAGCTCTCCAGACCCTGTCATTAGTTAAAAAAATAAAATCAAAGTAATATCAGCTTGTTTACACTGACTTTTAATCCCTGCAGATGTGGATTCTCCTTTCACATTATAGTCTTGCTTCCTCCTGCCTCAGTCTATCTAGGATGCCCCTGATAAAATAAAAAGCTCTTTTGTTCTGCCTTGCTTTTCCTGGAACTGAGCCATTGAGACTAGATATTTCGCTTCACCTTCTGCGTTCTCTAGTCTCTACTTTTATCTCTTTCTGTGCTGATTGAAAAAAAAATCTACTTGCACTTCACTTCTACCTTGATTCTTCCCCATGACACATTTCTTCCTAATTAACCAAAAGTTCCAATCCCATGATGGGAAACCTTCATCCTCTTTTTCAGTTTATCTGTTCTACCAAATACATGCCTGAGTAGCACATTCCCACTTGTATACAGCTGTAGCATTAGCTCAGGGAATGAAGAAGCATTACGAGTGGGTCCAAATGAAACACAATTAGAAAAAACAATGGTTTCCATCATATATATATATAGGATCTCACATGTATGTGAGTGTGTGTGTATCTCTATCTCCATCTCTATCCATCCTGTCCTGGGCATCTTTAATACTGTATGCCAGTGGTGGCGAACCTATGGCACGGGTGCCAGAGGCGGCACTCAGAGCCCTCTCTGTGGGCACGTGCGCTGTTGCCCCAGTCCTAGGCCTTCAGCTGGGTTTTATAAAACCTTTTCGCTTTAGGTCTCCGCTGCCATGTGCAAAAAAAAAAAAAAGGTTCAATCAATGAGTCAATTTCAACTTCTCGCGGGAAAAAAAGATCTTGCAAAGTTGGAATTGATTGATTGAACTTTTTAGTCCCACCCAGTTACCACCGCAGCCACGCCCACCCAATGGGCCACACCCACCCGGCACCCGACGATGCATAAGTGGGTTTTGGGTTGCAGTTTGGGCACTCAGTCTCTAAAAGGTTCGCCATCACTGCTGTATGCTGTTAACATTCTCGACTCTCTCTCTCTCTCCACATACACGGAGGCAAAGATCTAATATTTAAGTATCTAGCGGTTTCTCTGTGTGTGTGTGTGCATGGGCACGTGTGAAATGAGATTTAGTACATGGTATCAAAGATGACCAGCACTGGATATTTATAAAAGCTCATTAGGTTTTACTTCCATCTGTGAGTTGTTCTGATTACACAATGCTACACAGGTAATCCTCAAATTACAACAATTGAGCCCAAAATTTTTGTTGCTAAGTGGAACATTTGTTAAATGGGTTTTGCCCCATTTTACGACCTTTCTTGCCAGAGCTGTTAAGTAAATCACTGCAGTTGTTAAGTTAGTAACATGGTTGTTAAGCGAATCTGGCTTCCCCATTGACTTCAATTGTCAGGTCATAAAGGTTGATCACATAACCCCGGGACACCGCAACCATCATAAATCTGATCCAGTTGCCAAGCGTCCGAATTTTGATCACACGACCATGGGGACGCTGAATGGTTGTTAAGTATGAAAAATGATCATAAGTAACTTTGAACAGTGATTAAAAGAACTGTTGTAAGTCAAGGATTACCTGTACAAGAGGTATCCTCAATTATCTGAGGAAAAGGGTTGTAGGAGACCAGTCTTTTCTATTATCGATCTTGTAATTCATTACCTTTCTCACTGGCCCTATTATTTAAGTAGCAAAAGGCTACGGGGGTTGTGAGGGACACTCCCTAAAACTGTATGTCCCCCAAAGGTTTGCTTTAAATTCACACTGGTGCATTTATCGTACTGTACTGACATTGCCTGGAGGACTGGATCTAGATTTCCAGGATAGGAGAGAGGCTTTTGGTCCAGTATAGTCTTGCATATGATAAAGACCAGACTTTTAATCATGGTGTTGCATTTCATTTTCTATAATACAACCTACTAAAATTTCTGGTTCTCAAAAGCATGAAGAAAAAACAGCTGTTCCACTCAGTGTAAAATTCAGTACAGGTGGTCCTCAACTTAGAAGCATTTGTTTAGTGACTGTTCAAAGCTACAATGGCACTGGAAAAAAGTGACTTGCAATCAGTCTTTGCACTTATGACTGTTGCCACATCCCCCAGTCATGTAATCCAAATTTGGGTGATTGGCGTGTATTTACGACGGTTGCAGCATATCGAGGTCACGTGATCGCCATCTGCAACCTTCCAATCCGGCTTTTACCAAAGCAAAATCAATGGGGGAACCTGGATTCACTTAACAACCACATGATTCACTTAAGAACCAAAATGACCTTGTTTAACCATGGCAAAAAAAACCACTCATAAAAGTGGGCGTGACTCACTTTATTTTATTTATTTATTTAACACTAACTTATATGCCGCCCTTCTCCCCACGGGACTCAGGGCGGCTCACAGCACATTAAAACAACACAAAAACATTTCCCCTATAAAAGCCAATTAAAACCAAATATTTATAGCTGTGACATTATTAAAATCTTTAAAAAAAATTTCCCTATTTAAAATTCACCCTAGGTCAGTCCCGCTTG